AATAAATAAATAAATAAATATAAAATAAATGAAATGAAATGAAATAAAATAAAATCAAGACTGTTAAATTCGCATAATTCATTGCTAATGTCGGTGTTGGCAAAGATGTGAAGACATGAAGACCTTCATGAAATGACTAGTGAGAGAGAATACTGGTGTGAACTTTTTGGAAGACAGTCTGTCACGATGTACCAAAAAGTAACAATGTGTAGGTATACCTTCGACACAGAAATTATTTTCCAGAATTTATAACAAGGAATAATTATCTGTAAGGATGTAGGTACAAGGATGTTCATCATAGCATTTCTTATGATAGCAAAAAAAAAACAAAAAAAAACACAAAAAACAAAACAAAAAAAAACAGAACAACCTCGGGCGCCTGGGTGGCCCAGTTGGTTAAGCGACTGCCTTCGGCTCAGGTCATGATCCTGGAGTCCCAGGATCGAGTCCCGCATCGGGCTCCCTGCTCAGCGAGGAGCCTGCTTCTCCCTCTAACCCTCCCACCTCTCATGTACTCCCTCTCTCTCTCATTCTCACTCTTTCAAAATAAATAAATCTTAAAAAAAAAACAAAAACAGAACAACCACAAGAGGGGAAAAAATGATCAGTTAAGTAACACCGTACAGCCACATAATAAATTCCGTGTAGTTAATATATAAGGTATTATATATCTACCTCTATATTACCTTTTAAGTGTTATCGTTTATACTTAAAAAGTACTGATCTTTTTTTTTTAAGATTTATTATTTATTTGAGAGAGAGAGAGTAGGGGAGGGGCAGAGGGAGAGAATCTTCAAGCAGACTCCCTGCTGAGCATGGAGCGCAACTCAAGGCTCAATCTCACAGCCCATGAGATCACGACCTGAACTTAAATCATGAGTCAGACACTTAACCGACTGAGCCACAAAGGTACCCCCAAAAATGTACTGATCTTAAGTGTACAGTTCATGAGTTGTGAAAATCTCGTACAAACCATGTAGCCAACATCCAAGAGATAGAACATTCCATCATCCAGCAAGTTCCCTCATGTTTCTTTCCAGCCAATCCCCCCCGCAAACAACCACTTCTTTTTTTAAAAGAAAGATTTTACTTCTAAGTAATCTCTACACCCAACATGGGGCTCAAACTTACAACCCCAAGATCAAGAGTCACATGCTCTACCAACTGAGCCAGCCAGGCGCCCCAAATAACCACCTTTTGATTTCTATCACTATAAATTATTTTTGCCTGTACTTTACATAAATGGACTCTCCCAATGCATTTAAGGGAAGGGTGCTTTGGTTTAACCATCTTCTGATTCAGAGTCTTTGATCTCTCTCTCCTTCCTAGGAGCTGGAGCACTAGTGGTGGCCTGAAGCCATCACCCACCACCATTAGAAACCTAACTAAGCAGGAGTCAAGGGGATTCCACAGGGAAAATAGTCAAGAAACCATTGGTTATGAGCAGTGTCCTGGGAAGTGGGAAGAAATAACCCCCCAGGACACTCTTCCTTAGGTTTATCTTTCCTTGTTTCTTCCTTCTTTCAGGGTAGTAAAACATGACACTTTTGGAGTAAAACCCAGCTAAAAAAAAGGATTAGGATTTGGGGAGCAAAATCCCACTTGGAGAGAGCACTGGGGGAAACCTCAGGACAGCTCCAAGTCCATTGAGCAATACCCCACACAGAGCCAGCAGAATCCCAGCAGGACGACACGTTTGTGTCTGAGCCCACAGCAGGCTGCTCCGGGACCTGAAACAACAGGGCAGCTGAGAAGCTTGTGAGCAAAGGCTCACATGGAAAACAGGCTCCTGATCTGGGAGAGGGATTTACATCCAGGAACAAAGGGGTTTACTTCACCACAGGCAGACCTATGGGGTACAGGCTCTGAGCAGAAGGTTCCAGAAACTGATGAAGGGCAAGGCATTCACTCTCTCTAGATTCTTTTTTTTTTTTCCCCATTTCCTAGTCAAGGCTGAAATGCTGTTACATTTCTCTAGAAGAAATGGCATCAGGCCCTTGATACTGCAGGAAATGAGCTGACAAAAAAGAAGGCTGCAGCCGCCGTCAGAGTCAAGATGGATTCCCAAGACTTGGGGAATTCAAAGTTGAGAAAAGGCATTTTGCAGTTCTCAGCAGACGTGGTAGGGCCACGCCTCCTTGGAGTCAGGCTGGTAGGGAGGTGACAGCCCCAGGCCTGCTCCACACCAGTTTCATCTCTCTCCCACCCCGCTCACGCTGGAAACACCACTGAACTTCTCCCTCTGCCAAGCTGCCAGGAGCCCCAGAACTTGTTTGGGGGCAGCCCGGGGGGCAGGGCCAGGACATCTGCAAGCTCTCCAGAACTAGAACCCTTGCAACTGCATCATCATCTCTCGTTGGGGACATCCAAAGAGGCCCACCTGCAAACAGCTCTGAAATCTGGCTCGGACTCTGCAAAGTACAATGAACACCCGGTCGCAGGAGTTCTTGTAATTCAGGAACCAGGATTCAGATCCTGTGGCTCCAGACAAACACCGGATAACCGCTGAGACCCCAAAATGTTCTAAGCCTCTGCCCCAGCTGAAGTCCACTGCTGTTCCTGTGGCAAGTGTGATACTAAGAGACACTCAGTATCATCGAGAAGAGTCACCCATCAGCTTTTACGAAGTGATAACCCGAGACCTCAAAAGGAGAGGTCACAAGAATGACTGCCCTCAGATACGGGCCTTCTTTTGAAGTGATGGAGGTATTCTGAAATCAGATAGCGGTGGTTGTTGCACAACTTTGTGAATAGACTAAAAACCACTGAATTGTATACCTTGACAGAGTGAATTTGATGGCATGCGAACTATATCTCATAAAAAAGAAAAAAGGGTCACTAAATAATTACAAGTAGAAGAAAGAGAAGCAGAGTCGAGATCAAGATTTTGTTCTTGGCTCTTATTAGGCTGACATCTCTTTGGCCCTTGCATAAAATATTTCTTTCTTCTTCTCCTCCTCCTTCCTCTTTCGTATTTTTTTTAAAGGCAAATGCATCCTTGGGAACTCAAGTGATAGATACAGTGATAAACGTTTTTCCCCAGCAAACTCCCGCAGCCTTGAAAACACAATTCTGGGTATCATGTCCTCCAGAAAGTTCCCTGATCCCTTCCCCACTTCCAAGATAAGAGCCCCCAAGGATTCCAGATTCCCTAAGTGCCCTTTGCTCACCTATGACTAACACTTTATACTGAAATTAGCTGTCTGCCACCAGCTGCCACTGGCACTGCCTTGGCACACGGGAGGTACGTGAGAAATGTGTCTTGAACGAACTGAACACCCTATCATCATCTTGTCGGGCTTTTTAAAACTGGGCACGTGATGGGATGAGCACTGGGTGTTATACTGAACTGATGAATCATTGAACATCATATCAAAAACCAATGATGTACCATACCTTGGCTAACTGAATTTAAATTTTAAAAAATTTTTTAATTGATGTTGTTTTTTTAACACATCTACTTTAATTCTGCAGCACTGCACTTCTGCAACCATATAACAAGCTATTTGCTACCGAAAACAACAGTATGTCATAAAATGTTTTCTCAGAGGGAATGCAGTTCATTCATGCCAAGAATAAATCAAGTGGACCCCGTGAGGGATTTCTACCTTGGTACAGGTCAAAAGGGAGAATGAATCAGAGCATCAGAATCCGTGCTTCCTGGTGGGTAAGGAGGTAAAACATGTTCTCCTCTCCCTTCCTTTTCCCCGAAAACCTTTAAATATCACAAAGCTTTTAAGCAGAGTCATTAAGTCTATGCAAAGCCATCCCAGAACCAGGAGTCTTTTCCTGCCTTTCCTCTTCCTTACTGTTCCTAGATTTTCTTAGAAAACCAAAGAGCTATAATGTCATGACATGCTGTAACACAAAGTTCAGCCAAGAGTTTCAGGGCCCACTGAAAATTAGGATTTTCAGGGCACCTGGGTGGCTCAGTTGTTAAGCGGCTGCCTTCGGCTCAGGTCATGATCCTAGGGTCCTGGGATCGAGCCCCACATCGGGCTCCCTGCTCAGCGGGAAGCCTGCTTCTCCCTCTGCCTCTCTCTCTCTCTCTCTCTGTCTCATTAATAAATAAAATCTGAAAAAATAAATAAATAAATAAATAAATATAAAA